GGAAGGGGGTAGAAGTGCCGGGGGGGCAGGAAGGGGGTAGAAGTGCCCAGTAGGCAGGAAGGGGGTAGAAGTGTCCTGTAGGCAGGAAGGGGGTAGAAGTGCCCAGGGGGCAGGAAGGGGGTAGAAGTACTCTGTAGGCAGGAAGGGAGTATAAGTGCCCGGGGGGCAGGAAGGGGGTAGAAGTACTCTGTAGGCAGGAAGGGAGTATAAGTGCCCGGGGGGCAGGAAGGGGGTAGAAGTACGGGGGGGCAGGAAAGGGGGTAGAAGTACTCTGTAGGCAGGAAGGGGGTAGAAGTGTCCTGTAGGAAGGAAGGGGGTAGAAGTGTCCTGTAGGCAGGAAGGGGGTAGAAGTGCCTGGGGGGCAGGAAGGGGGTAGAAGTGTCCTGTAGGCAGGAAGGGGGTAGAAGTGCCCGGGGGGCAGGAAGGGGGTAGAAGTGTCTCTGTAGGCAGGAAGGGGGTAGAAGTGCCCGGGGGGCAGGAAGGGGGTAGAAGTACTCTGTAGGCAGGAAGGGAGTATAAGTGCCCGGGGGGCAGGAAGGGGGTAGAAGTGCCCGGGGGGCAGGAAGGGGGTAGAAGTACTCTGTAGGCAGGAAGGGGGTAGAAGTGTCCTGTAGGCAGGAAGGGGGTAGAAGTGCCCTGGGGCAGGAAGGGGGTAGAAGTGCCCGGGGGGCAGGAAGGGGGTAGAAGTGCCCGGGGGGTAGAAGGCCCAGTAGGCAGGAAGGGGGTAGAAGTGTCCTGTAGGCAGGAAGGGGGTAGAAGTGCCCGGGGGGCAGGAAGGGGGTAGAAGTACTCTGTAGGCAGGAAGGGAGTATAAGTGTCCTGTAGGCAGGAAGGGGGTAGAAGTGCCCGGTAGGCAGGAAGGGGGTAGAAGTGTCCGGGGGGCAGGAAGGGGGTATAAGTGTCCTGTAGGCAGGAAAGGGGGTATATGCCTGGGGGCAGGAAGTAGACTCTGTAGGCAGGAAGGGGGTATAAGTGCCCGGGGGCAGGAAGGGGGTAGAAGTGCCGGGGGGGGCAGGAAGGGGGTAGAAGTGTCCTGTAGGCAGGAAGGGGGTAGAAGTGCCCGGGGGGCAGGAAGGGGGTAGAAGTGTCCTGTAGGCAGGAAAGGGGGTAGAAGTGCCCGGTGGGCAGGAAGGGGGTAGAAGTGTCCTGTAGGCAGGAAAGGGGTATAAGTACTCTGTAGGCAGGAAGGGGGTAGAAGTGCCGGGGGGCAGGAAGGGGGGTAGAAGTGCCGGGGGGGGCAGGAAGGGGGTAGAAGTGCCCTGTAGGCAGGAAGGGGGTATAAGTGCCGGGTAGGCAGGAAGGGGGTAGAAGTGCCGGGTAGGCAGGAAGGGGGTAGAAGTGCCGGGTAGGCAGGAAGGGGGTATAAGTGCCGGGGGCAGGAAGGGGGTATAAGTGCCCGGTAGGCAAGGGGTTAAGAGACATCATTATATGGTCAATATTCATCCCAGCTGGGTGAACGCCGGTCACATACATTCATTTATTTGTTTTTATATAGACCTCCAAGTGTTTGTGAAATCTCCCACCGCAAAATGTACTCAGCCAATCACAGGGCAGGACTCCATTTTTATTCTTCTCCTGCCATCAATGGCCAACCCGGTCCCACACTTCATCCATGTCTTTGGGGACCTCTGATCTCCTTATGAACTGTTTCTTCCATGATGAAGATCAGCCATGGAGTATATCTGAGGTGTATATCATTATTATTATACTGTATTTATAAAGTTAAAAGGTTTGCTCAGCGCTGTACATTATAGTGGGGGACATAACATGAAACAATACAGTAACAATACAATACAAGAGGGGTGCGAGGGCCCTGATCCTTGGAGCTTACAATCTAGGAGGGAGGGGGTAGAGGTACAGGAGGAAGTGGCTGTGGGGGATGGAGTGGTAGGAGGAGTGGAGAAGAACGGCTGTTAGGTGAGGGTGGGGTAGGCTTCCCTGAAGAGATGGGTTTTCAGGGTGCGCCTAAAAGTGAGGAGGGTGACAGTCTGATGGATTGGGGTAGTGAGTTCCAGATGATGGGGGAAGTCCTGGAGAAGTCCTGCAGTTGGGTGTGGGAGGTAGAGACCAGGGAGATAGAAAGTAGGAGGTCTTGTGAGGAGCGAAGATTACGGGTTGGGTGGTATTTGGGTATCAGGTCGGTGAGGTAGTTTGGGGCAGCATTATGAATGGCTTTTTATGTCAGTGTTAGTAGTTTGAATTTAATGCGTTGGGCAATCTGGAGCCAGTAGAGGGAATGGCAGAGGGGGGTGGCAGAAGCGGAGTGGTTGATAAGGTGGATGAGTCTGGCCGCTGAGTTCAGGATAGACTGAAGCGGGGATAGTCTGCGATGAGGTAGGCCGGTGAGAAGGGAGTTGCAGTAGTCCAGACGTGAGATAATAAGGGAGTGAATGAGTTGTTTAGTGGTGTCCGGGGTTAGGAACGAACGTATTTTGGAGATGTTGCGGAGGTGGAGCCTGCATGAGTTTGCCAACGATTGGACATGGGGTTGGAAGGACAGGTCTGAGTCTAGAGTGACACCTAGAACTTTGGCTTGTGGGGTGGGACTGATGGTGATGTTGTTGGCTATGGAGAGGGTGGGGGGGCACGGGCTAGGGGGAAAATCAGGAGCTCGGTTTTGGAAAGGTTCAATTTGAGGAAATGGAGTGACATGCAGTCTGATATGTCGTTCAGTAGGTGGGTGATATGGGTGGAGACTGAAGGGGTGAGGCGAGGGGTGGAGAGGTAAATTTGCGTGTCATCGGCATAGAGGTGATAGTTGAAGCTGTGGGAGTGTATCAGTTTGCCGAGGGAGGAGGTGTAGATGGAGAAGAGAAGGGGCCTGAAGACAGAGCCTTGGGGGACCCCAACAGAGAGGGGGAGAGAGGGGGAGGTGGTAGCCTTAGGTAATGCTGAAGGAGCGTTGGGATAGGTAGGAGGAGAACCAGGAGAGAGCGGTGTCTCTGATGCCAAGGGAGTATAGTTTATTAAGGAGGAGGGGGTGGTCAACTGTGTCGAAGGCTGCGGAGAGGTTGAGGAGTAGGAGGACTGAGTAGTGGCCATTAGCTTTGGCGGTTAGCAGGTCATTAGTGATTTTGAGTAAGGCAGTTTTGGTGGAGTGTAGGGGAAGGAGGCCAGACTGTAGGGGATCGAGGCGGTTGTTGTCAGCGAGGTGGGTGCTTAAGTGATTGTAGACTAAGCGCTCAAGGAGCTTGGAAGTAAATGGCAGCAGGGAGATGGGTCTAAGGTTGTTCAGGTTGGTGGGGTCCAGGGAGGATTTTTTGAGTATGGGGGTGATGTGCGCATGCTTTAGGGGGGAGGGGAATGCGCAAGAAGAGAGGGAGAGATTGAAGATGTGGATGATGGAGCGTAGGATGGAGGAGGGTGACCGGAGGAGATGTGTGGGGACAGGGTCAAGTGGTGAGGCAGGCTTCTGAGAAGACCTTAATAACCTCCTCAATGGTAGCAAGGCTGGAGGAGCAGAGTGTTGGGGAGGTTATAGTGTGCGGGACGTTAGGTGTGGTGGGGGGTAGGGTGGTTGTGAGGTCAGAGGAGGGGAGAGTTGATTGGGTTATAGTGGGAGGGAGGCTAGGTGGGGAGGTAGGTTGAGCATTGGTGATGTCCTTACAGATTGTGTCGATCTTATTTTGGAAGTGATTGGCAATCTCGTGGGCGGTGAGTGAGGTACTGGGGTGGGGGGGGGAGAGTAGGGAGTTGAAAGTGGAGAAGAGCCGGTGAGGACAGGTGGAGAGGGTGTTGATGAGGGTTACAAAGTAGGCTTGTTTGGCGGCGTGGAGGGAGGAGGTGTAGGTGAGGAAGGCGGATTTGTAGAGGGAGAACGCTCAAGGGAATCTGGTTTTGCGTCATAATCGTTCCACCGCGTGACTGCATCATTTAAGATTTTTAGTGTGGTCATTCTGCCAGGGTTGAAGCGGTCAGGGTCTGATGTTACGTGTGGTTAGGGGTGCAAAGGAGTCTAAGGCAGCTGACAGTGAGTCATTGTAGTGGCCAGGTCAGGGCATGACAGTGGAAGGATACTGTCCTACAGTCAGCTGCAGGGTGGAGAGGGGCCGGGTTCAGGTTGCGGAGGTTACGGCTGGTGATGGTTTGACATTTGGGGGGGAGGCGTTATAGGATGGGGAGACGGAGAACGTAATGAGGTTGTGGTCAGAGAGAGGGAAAGGGTTTTTTTTGTGAGGTTGTGGGGGGTGCAGAGATGGGAGAAAACGAGGTCCAGGGTGTTCCCATTGGTGTGGGAGGAGGACTGTATGCACTGTGTGAGTGCAAAAGAAGAGGTTAAGCGGAGGAGTTGGGATGTAGCCGGGTTGTTGACATTGAGAGGCATATAGAAGTCTCCAAGGATGATGGTCGGTAGCTCAGAGGAGAGGAAGAAGGGCAGCCAGGAGGAAAAGTTGTCAAGGAAGCGGGATATGGGTCTAGGAGGCCGATAGATCACTGCAATCCTGAGAGGGGTGGGGAAGAAGAGTCGGATGCAGTGGGCCTCGAAGGAGGAGAAGGATAGAGAGGGAGGGTTAGGGAGGACCTGGAAGGTGGTCAGCGGTGATAAAAGCACGCCAGCCCCATCTCTACGACCGCTCAGTCTGGGTGAATGGGACCAGACGAGATCTCCATAGGAGTGTGCCGCAGGGGAGGCGGAGGCAGTGGCTTGGATCCAGGTTTCGGTGACCGCTAGGAGGTTGAGGGAGCGGGAGATAAAAAGGTCATGGATGGCGGTGAGCTTGTATCAGGGTGTGCTTCTTCCCCACATGAGAGCTGGGATGTCCAGCAACATTCATCTAGAAGACATTTCCCACACTCAAGGCACTAATACACCTCCAGGGTTGTGTGCGATCCATGATGTACATGAATACAGGACTTCAGTGAGGAACATTTCCCTCACTCAGGACAGGAAAGTGGCTTCTCCCCCGCATGAGATCTCTGATGTTTGGAAAGATTGGACTTCTGTGAAAAACATTTCCCGCACTCAGGACAGAAATACGGCTTCTCCCCTGTGTGAGATCTCAGATGTGTTTGAAGACTGGACTTGTCTGAAAAACATTTCCCACACTCAGGACAGAAATACGGCTTCTCCCCTGTGTGAGATCTCTGATGTGTGTGAAGACTGGACTTGTCTGAAAAGCATTTCCCACACTCTGGACAGGAATATGGCTTCTCTCCTGTGTGAGATCTCTGATGTCTGCAAAGACTGGAATTCTGTGAAAAACATTTTCCGCACTCTGGACAGGAATACGGCTTCTCCCCTGTGTGATATCTCTGATGTTTGTGAAGACTGAACTTGTCTGAAAAACATTTTCCACACTCTGGACAATATGGTTTCTCTCCTGTGTGACATCTCTGATGTTTGGAAAGAGTGGACTTCCATGAAAAACATTTCCCACACTCAGGGCAGAAATACGGCTTCTCCCCTGTGTGAGATCTCTGATGTCTGTAAAGATCGGACTTCTGAGAAAAACATTTTCCACACTTCGGACAGGAATACGGCTTTTCTCTCCTGTGTGAGATATCTGATGTGTGTAAAGATCGGACTTCTGCAAAAAACATTTCCCGCACACAGAACAGGAATACGGCTTCTCCCCCGTGTGAGATCTCTGATGTCTGGAAAGATGGGACTTCTGTGAAAAACATTTCCTGCACTCAGGACAGGAATATGGCTTCTCCCCTGTGTGAGATCTCTGATGTGTGTAAAGATCAGACTTCTGCAAAAAACATTTCCCACACTCAGGACAGGAATACGGTTTTTCCCCCCTGTGCAATCTCTGATGTACATAAAGACTGGACTTGACTGAATACCATTTCCCACACTCAGTACAGGAGAACCTCTTCCCTGTTGGAAGGCCGGCCCGGTCCCGCACAGTCTGAGGTTCCTCAGGATACGAGGAATCCGATGGTCCATCTACATTCGGTGGTGCCGGATGGGCATTGGAGGGAGCCGGGTTTTCTCCTGGACTATACTGTGTGATGTCCTCATCTTCTACTTTCCAGTCTGGAGACAAAGTGAGACAATCCTCGGAGGTTTTCCTCATCTCCCGGCCATGGACTAAAATACAAAGACAAAGAGGATTACTAGACAGGAGATGATTGGTTCCCCCAAACCAGGACTCCGCCCACATCAGGCAGCTTGGTCTCTGAGGAGCTTACAATTCCACCCTCAAGGGAACTAGGAAAATGGGTGTAACAAAAGAGAATCCATATGCAGTGGGTGTGGAGGGTAGAGAAAGCCGGCATTAGTACAACATACATAAGATTTTGCAGTAGGGTGGATTGGGTATGTAAGTACAACATAGAGTATATAGTGCAGGGGTCAGGAGTATGTAATGTACAACATAGAGTATATAGTGCAGGGGTCAGGAGTAAGTAATGTACAACATAGCGTATATAGTGCAGGGGTCAGGAGTATGTAATGTACAACATAGAGTATATAGTGCAGGGGTCAGGAGTATGTAATGTACAACATAGAGTATATAGTGCAGGGGTCAGGAGTATGTAATGTACAACATAGTATATAGTGCAGGGGTCAGGAGTATGTAATGTACAACAGAGTATATAGTGCAGGGGTCAGGAGTATGTAATGTACAACATAGAGTATATAGTGCAGGGGTCAGGAGTATGTAATGTACAACATAGAGTATATAGTTCAGGGGTCAGGAGTATGTAATGTACAACATAGAGTATATAGTGCAGGGAGTAGGAGGATGTAATGTACAACATAGAGTATATAGTGCAGGGGTCAGGAGTATGTAATGTACAACATAGAGTATATAGTGCAGGGGTCAGGAGGATGTAATGTACAACATAGAGTATATAGTGCAGGGGTCAGGAGTATGTAATGTACAATATAAATTATACAGTGTAAGGGTCAGGACTCATAATATTTTGGTATTCAGTAATCAGTAGAAGATTAAATGTTTACTGTAGACAAGTTGCAGAGATCCCACACCGCTGCCTCCCATCTCCTGAGACTGCACTCAGTGACTTGGGTCTGAGACCATACAGACATATCCCTCCACCCGGCACAGCCAGCAGACCACAGAGCAAGTTACTCTGGGAGAATTACTCTGTCAGAGATCTTGCTAGATCCGGACATGGGGAAGAAATCAAAGACACATACCGCAAGTGCCTAGGTAGAACAACATCTATGAAGAAGATGAACATTTTGCTGCCAGCTGAACTCCAGAATCAACATAAATCCAATCTAGATACATAAAGTGTGTCTTATGTGTTATGTGCTGATATTGCCAAGTGTTTACTACCTCAGGGGTAGGCAATGGAAGATCCAGCCGAACTTGGTTAGAAGGCTTGATACGGTCACAGACCTGTCAGGCTTTCACAAAGTCCTTGACATCCTTGCAGAGGTCTGGCTACAGTAGAGATGAGAGAGGAACATTATGGTCCTTTGGGTACCCAGATAGAGAGTTTGGAGTCATGAACCCAATGTAACAGCTTCAACCTAGAACTTGCTGCCATGAAAGATTTCCCCAGTGGGATAGTCCTGAGGTAAGAGCAAGAATTTGGGTGGGAGGAATTATAAACTCTGGTTCTCTGGAGGTCTCAGAATCAAAGGAGCATGACAGCACATCTGACCTGGATTTGGCCTTCCTCGGTTTGAAGGTGATGACAAAATCAAAACGTGAGAAGAACAGCAACCAGCTAGCCTGTTGGGAATTCAAGCAAGTGGCAGAATGGAGGTTCTGCAAATTTTTATGATCCAAGTAAAGTGATCCGATGAGGAAAACCTTTCAGAAGGTACTGACATTCTTCCAGGGCTAATTTTACAGTGAAAAGTGTGAGATCTCTTATGGAGTAATTTCTCTCTGCTGGGGAGACATCTAACCCCACTAGGTGATTGAAAAAGAATGGCCCCAACTCGTACAGAGAAGGCATTCACTTCTATGAAGAAAGGCTTGGAGACATCAGGCCTCAGGAGAGCTGGGCCAGAGAGAGGCTGGGCCTGCTTTAAAGCATGGAAAGCCTCCACTGCATCAGGTGGCCAGTTCCTAGGATCAGCATCCTTCTGGGTCAGGGCTGTGATGGGTGCAACCAGAACAGAAACAGTTGCAAATGAATTGCCGGTAGTAGTTTGTGCAGCCCAGAAAGCATTGGATAGCCTTCAGACCACCAGGTCAGGGCCAAGTGGAAATAGCGACAACCTTTTCAGGGTCCATGGAGAAACCTTCTCTGGAGACCATGTAGCCCAGAAAAGGTACTTCAGATTGTTTAAAGAGGAATTTCTCAGCCTTAGCATAAAGCATGTTCTCATGAAGGTGTTGGAGGACCGTATGGATGTGAAGTCTGTAGGGAGATCTGGGGAAAAAATAAGAATGTCATCCAGATAGACTACAACACAGACATAGAGAAGGTCACAGAAGATCTTGTTGACAAAGTGATAAAAAACCTGCTAGGGCATTACAGAGGCCAAATGGCATCACTAGATATTCATAGTGGTCATCCCTGGTGTTAAAAGCAGTCTTCCACTCATCTCCCCCTTTGATACCAATGAGATTACATGCTCCTCTTAAATTGAATTTCTTGAAACCTTGCACCCCACAAAGTCAATTAAACAACTCAGTAACAAGTGGAAGTGAGTAACGGTTTTCAACTGTAATAGCATTTGATCTCCAATAGTCAATAGAAGAATGAAGGGAACCATCTTTTTTTCTTGACAATGAACCCCACTCCATCAAGAGAGAATTTCTGGATAATATATTTTTTGGAGATTTTCTGCAATGTACTCAGACATGGGCTCGGTCTCAGCGAGACTGAGGCAATATACCCGGCCCATAGGGATGATGGAACCTAGGACTAGGTCTATGGTACAATCGTAGGGTCTGTGGGGAGGACGTTGGTCCACCTTACGTTTGGAAAACACAGCCAGAAATTCTGAGTCATGTGGTGGCACCAGGGAAGAAACCTCAGTGGGTGTCACTGGAAGGGTTTGATTAAAACCACCTTACCTAGTCATCTGGTGTTCCAGGTGGGCCCACAGATAACAAATAATGTCCAGACCAGTTGATTGCTGGGGAAATGGCTAGTGGTGACACCAAAAAGGAAATGGATTCCTGGTGAAGCACTCCCACAGACATCTTGATGGGAGTGTGCAGGAATGAAAAAAGACCTGAGGCCAGAATGGTTCCATCAATGGCCAAAACTCAAAGGATCTGAGGAAGGGGTTCTGTGGTCGAAGCAAATTCCTTTACCAGGGATTCAGAGATAATATTGTCTGCTGTACCAGAGTCAATGAATGATTCCATTGAGACAGTTGAAGTGGGAAAGTGCAACTGAACAGTAATTGTTGGACATGGACTTGTGGGGCAAGAATTATGGTCCAGCATACCCCCTCTAGGTATACTAGCCTTGGAAGTTTCCCGGCCGCTATGGTTACGGTTTCAAGAAATGTCCCTTTTTTCCCCAGAGTAGATGCACAGTCCCTGGATCTGACAACAGTTCCTTTCCTCAATGGATAGGTATGATTGACCCAGTTGCATAGGCTCTTCTTGAAAGGAGTCATTGGGAGGTACTAAGGGGTGTTGGAACATTGTAGCCAGATGAGAAGCTGAGAATTTGGAAGCTATAAGTGCTTATTGTTTCAGGAAAGTTCAGGTGCTAGAGAGTAGAACTGAATGGCGTACTGCCCAACAGTGAGGTTGCCTTTACGGAGTTGAAGTGCCTGCAGTGGAGGACGCATGGCCAACTCATCAAAATTATTTTTAAAGAAAGCAAGAAACGAAATGAGAAATGCTGTGATATCATTGGTTACTAGATCAACCTTTTCCCACAGCGGAGAGGCCCATGACAAAGAATCTCCAGAAAGCAGAGAAATCACGTACATGACCGTGCCCCGACCAGAAGGAAAATTCTGTGGCTGTAACTCAAAGTGAATGTCACATTAGTTAACAAACCCAAGGTAGGCCTTAGGATCTCCAGAGAATCAAGGCAGAGCCGGAAGATGAAGCGTGGACATCACCACCGGAGCAGTTTGCTGTCTAGGGGCTGGCAGAGGTAAGTCTCCAGATGCAGAAGCAAAGCTTGGAGTTGATCCAAACTGGAGATGATGAATAAATTGAGCTTGACTAGATTCTTGAACACTGAGACTTTGGAGAAGTCACTCGAAATCTGCAGGTGATGGGGATTTGTCTGTGTTGGTTCGAGCAAACTATCATGATGAGAGGGGAAGACCACCTGGGACTGTAAACTCTAGATTTACGTGGACCAAACAGCACACAGAATATGGGAATACTCAAACGGCAAATACTACAGGAACCAGAGGGGTCCGACTTCCACGTGACAACATGTTGTTCAAACACTAACACACAGGTGCAAAGGCTTAATAATACCTAGATTAAGGGGTGATAGACAGGAACCCGAGCAACACGGACAGGAGGCAAAATGTACACAGAAGTGTGACTAGTATGGGTGGAGGAATGGATTTAGTGTTCATGACCCACCTGTGCTGATCTCTGTAGGAGTGTCCTCCTCTATAAATGTCCCCGTTATTCCATCCTCCTCCATAGACTGCTGATCATCCCTCACATACGCCTCTTCTTCTTCTTCTGCTTTCACCTCAACTTTTATATCTATCAGATCTTCACCCTAAACCAAGAGAATGAGAGAAAATATCATCTGTAAAATATAGGCTTACATAAAAAATCCATATATTGTCCCACGTCCATGCTCTCCACCTCTCCAACCTTGTAATGGTGAGAGATGGTGTGACCTTCCTGTGTGGAATCCCAGGAATACGGAGGACGGGGACATCTCTCTGGTGGGTTCCTGGTATTAGGTGGCTCCATCATATCCTTGTGTCCTTCTGAAAACTCCTCCATCACTCCATACTCCTCATCCTCCTCTTTATACTCTTCTTTAACATCAATATTATCATCCCCGAGGATTCCACTCTGAAAGATATAATAAAACATTCATTGTAACAAACATGCTGTGTATAAATCACAACTACCAATAATTGTCATCGTCTACCTGATGATGGTGAGGGATGGTGTGACCTTCCTGTGTGGAATCCCGGGAATACAGAGGACGGGGACATCTCTCTGGTGGGTTCCTGTAGCTGGTTGACTCCACCATGGTGTCCTGGTACAGATCTTTGTGTTCTCTTAGAAGCTCTGACTCCTCCATCCCCCCATCCTCATCCTCCTCCTCTTTTATCTCTTCTTTAACCTCAACTTTAGGATCTCTCAGGTTTCCACTCTGAATATATAATAAAAATGCCATCAATGGTAACAATGCAGATAATGTACAGATCCTAATGATACTATCAGTGATTGTTCCTCATCTACCTGATGATGGTGAGGGATGGTGTGACCTTCCTGTGTGGAATCCCGGGAATACAGAGGACGGGGACATCTCTCTGGTGGGTTCCCATGACTGGATCCATCTGTAGGAAACACACACACACTGACTGAATCCATTGTTTCTATGTGTTTATCAGATGATGGGGGATCTAGGTGGATCCTCCGTACTGCTCTCTCCTTTACAATAAAAGTCTCCTCTTACCCGGTGATGTGAGGGGCGGCTGATTGTCCATCATGACGTCCTTGTAGAGATCCTTGTGTCCTTCTAAATACTCCCACTCCTCCATGGAGAAATAGACAGTGACACCCTGACACCTTATAGGAACCTGACACACACAATGATACAGTCACCATCCAGACACATCCCTTGTCTGTTACTGGAGAATGTCCCAGAATTCCCGGCACCGCTCACCTCTCCTGTCAGCAGCTCAGTGATCTCTCTGGTGACTTCTAGAATCTTCTTCTTCTTTCTCTCTTCTATCAGGGAGGGAGGTGGAGGCAATGTGATGTCATATGATCTCCAGACTTCACAGGAGGAAAACTCTACATCTGAACACAAATAGTCCCATCAAATGATATTCCCAGAATCCTCCTCACCTCTCCAGTCATGTCTATCTATTATCCACTTCAATATTGGGCACTTTCACCCCCTCCCAGTTAAGGCAAATTTTCATCTTTCAGCACTGTTGCACTTTGAATGACAATTGTGCGGTCATGCAATACTACACGTATGAATGTTTTTTATATTTTTTGAGATAGATAGAGATTTTTTTTAAGGTATTTGATTATCACTGTTTTTTGTTTTTGTGTTTGCTATATAAATAAAAAAATACAAAAAAAAAAATTGGGAAAAAAAATATTTGCTCTCTTTGTTTTTGTTATAAAATTTTGCAATGAAATAATCTTTCTTCATACATTTAGGCCAAAATGTATGCTGGTACATTCTGGGGGTAAAAAACAATCCAAAACAGTCTATATTATTTAGTCTGTGAGAAAGTTATAGAATCCACAAACTATGGGACATATCTCTCTGGTGACTTCTAGAATCTTCTTCTTCTTTCTCTCTTCTATCAGGGAGGGAGGTGGAGGCAATGTGATGTCATATGATCTCCAGACTTCACAGGAGGAAAACTCTACATCTGAACACAAATAGTCACATCAAATGATATTCCCAAAATTGATCAGTCATGTCTATCTATTATCCACTTCAATATTGGGCACTTTCACCCCCTCCCAGTTAAGGAAATGGTTCATCTTTCAGACTGTTGCACTTTGAATGACAATTGGTCATGCAATACTACTGGTATGAATGTTTTTTATATTTTTTGACAGATGATAGAGATTTTTTTTTAAGGTATTTGATTATCACTGGCAGGGCTATATAAATAAAAAAATACAAAAAAAAAAATTGGGGGGATTTGCTCTCTTTGTTTTTGTTATAAAATTTTGCAATGAAATAATCTTTCTTCAAGGCCAAAATGTATGCTGGTACATGGGGGTAAAAACAATCCAAAACAGTCTATATTATTTAGTCTGTGAGAAAGTTATAGAATCCACAAACTATGGGATATATGTCTGAAAATTGATCAGTTGAGACCCTAAAATGCCAGATGCTGGTATGATGTATAGCAGTGATTAGGACGTTGGGTATGGGTATGACAATGTTCAGGATGCTGGTATGGTGTATGGCAGGGATCAGGATGCTGGTATGGTTGTATGGTGGGGATCAAGACTGCTGGTATGGTGTATGGGGTGATAAGGACACTGGTATTGAGTATGGAAGTGATCAGGACATTGGTTTGAGGTTTGGTGATCAGGACATTGGTATGAGGTATGGTGATCAGGATGCTGGTATGGGTATGGGGTGATCAGGATGCTGGTATGGGGTATGGTGGTGATCAGAATGCTGGTATGGGGTATGGTGGTGATCAGGATGCTGGTATGGGGTATGGTGGTGATCAGGATGCTGGTATGGGGTATGGTGGTGATCAGGATGCTGGTATGGGGTATGGTGGTGATCAGGATGCTGGTATGGTATGGTGGTGATCAGGATGCTGGTATGGTGTATGGCGGTGATCAGGATGCTGGTATGGGGTATGGCGGTGATCAGGATGCTGGTATGGGGTATGGCGGTGATCAGGATGCTGGTATGGGGTATGGTGGTGATCAGGATGGTATGGTATGGGTGATCAGGATGGTATGGTATGGGGTGATCAGGATGCTGGTATGGGGTATGGTGGTGATCAGGATGCTGGTATGGAGGTGATCAGGTGCTGGTATGGTGTATGGCGGTGATCAGGATGCTGGTATGGTGTGATCAGGATGCTGGTATGGGGTAGGGCGGTGATCAGGATGCTGGTATGGGGTATGGCGGTGATCAGGATGCTGGTATGGTGTATGGGGTGATCAGGGTGCTGGTATGGGGTATGGCGGTGATCAGGATGCTGGTATGGAGTATGGCGGTGATCAGGACGCTGGTATTGGGTATGGGGGTGATCAGGATGCTGGTATGGTGTATGAGGTGATCAGAATGCTGGTATGGGGGGTATGGCGGTGATTAGGATGCTGGTATGGGGTATGGCGGTGATCAGGACGCTGGTATGGGGTATGGCGGTGATTAGGATGCTGGTATGGTGTATGGGGGTGATCAGGATGCTGGTATGGTGTATGGGGGTGATCAGGATGCTGGTATGGGGTATAGCGGTGATCAGATGCTGGTATGGGGTATGGAGGTGATTAGGGCGCTGGTATGAGGTATGGCGGTGGTCAGGATGCTGGTATGGGGTATGATGATGTTCAGGATGCTGGTATGGGTGTATGACGATGGGGTGATCAGGATGTTGGTATGGTGTATGAGGTGATCAGGCTGCTGGTATGGGGTATGGTGGTGATCAGGACGTTGGTTGGTATGGTGGAGATCAGACTGCAGGTATGGGGTATGGCGGTGGTCAGGATGCTGGTATGGGGTATGGTGGTGATCAGGACGCTGGTATAGGGTATGGTGGTGATCAGGACGCTGGTATAGGGTATGGTGGTGATCAGGACGCTGGTATGGGGTATGGCGGTGATCAGGATGCTGGTATGGGGTATGGCGGTGATCAGGATGCTGGTATGGGGTATGGAGGTGATCAGGATGTTGGTATGGTGTATGAGGTGATCAGGACGCTGGTATGGTGTATGGGGTGATCAGCATGCTGGTATGGGGTATGGCGGTGATCAGGATGTTGGTATGGGGTATGGGGTGATCAGGACGCTGGTATGGTGTATGGGGTGATCAGGACGCTGGTATGGGGTATGGCGGTGATCAGGATGCTGGTATGGGGTATGGCGGTGATCAGGATGCTGGTATGGTGTATGGTGGTGATCAGGATGCTGGTATGGTGTATGGCGGTGATCAGGATGCTGGTATGGTGGTATGGCGGTGATCAGGATGCTGGTATGGTGTATGGTGGTGATCAGGATGCTGGTATGGTGTATGGTGGTGATCAGATTGCTGGTATGGGGTATGGGATCAGGATGCTGGTATGGTGTATGGGTGATCAGGACTCTGGTATGGCGGTGATCAGGACATTGGTATGGGTATGGTGGTGATCAGGACGCTGTTATGGGGTGTATGGGGTGATCAGGACTCTGGTATGGTGTGGCGGTGATCAGGACATTGGTATGGGTATGACGGTGATCAGGACATTGGTATGGTGTATGGCGGTGATCAGGACATTGGTATGGTGTATGGTGGTGATCAGGACATTGGTATGGTGTATGGCGGTGATCAGGACATTGGTATGGTGTATGGCGGTGATCAGGACATTGGTATGGTGTATGTGGTGATCAGGACATTGGTATGGTGTATGGCGGTGATCAGGACATTGGTATGGTGTATGGCGGTGATCAGGACATTGGTATGGTGTATGGTGGTGATCAGGACATTGGTATGGTGTATGGTGGTGATCAGGACATTGGTATGGTGTATGGTGGTGATCAGGACATTGGTATGGTGTATGGTGGTGATCAGGACATTGGTATGGTGGTGATCAGGACATTAATTAGGTGTATGGTGGTGATCAGGACATTGGTATGGTGTATATGGTGGTGTCAGGACATTGGTATGGTGTATGGTGTTGTTTTTGTGCGCTCTGGGAAAGGTGACAGGTGGTGGCTGCAGTCTTATTAGGACTACACTATGGCAGTGATCATGGACAATGGGCCAGTGATCATGGACACTGGGGTGGTCTGGCACTGCAGTCAGTCTGTGAGTGTGCTTGTATCCTGACAGGTTTCTGTACAGTCACAGGCTGCAGCATCGATTCTCTGTGTTCTCACAGTGACAGCATAAAGAACCAATACTTACTTTCAGTTTCTATTGTTTACTATGTGATTGCGGTGATTGGATACAGCAATCACATGGTAAAACACCCTGTGATCCTCTGTGTCCAGGTAACATAGCGATCAGAAGGCTCTCGGGAGCACGCTCTGTAAGCTGCACAGGAACCACTAATGTAGGCTGACATACAGGTACATGATCCCACATTGGCACGGCTTCCCGATCACCATTTATAGGCAATGGATGGACAGGAAGTTATTAAAACTGCACTTCAGGCTGAGGTATCATTTACCCACACAGGGCCTCCCACTCCATAGATTACATGTCAAAGCAAGCAATTCTGATGTCATTACATACAACACGGGACCAACTGTCCAACTCTGCTAGTGAGGATACCAAGGGGCCCCCACATCCTAAGAGCATCAGAAAGAAAGACAGATGGAGGGACATTGGGGGGAGGAGCTGTGAGGTCAGTGTGATGTCATAGGATTCTCTGACTCTGGATGGAGGGACATTGGGAGGAGCTGTGAGGTCAGTGTGATGTCATAGGATTCTCTGACTCTGGATGGAGGGACATTGGGTGGTGGGGATGGATTTGGCGGCGTGCTGGTGCCAAGTTTCCTCCCCCCAGGGTCACTGCAGGTGTGGAGAAAAGCTGTGTAAGAGGATATGGAGGAGAGATGAGGAGGAGATCCAGGAATCAGGAGAAAGGTCAGGGCAAGCAACAGACGAGCGCATCCAAGAGACCAAGCCGGGGTCACTACACAGAAAATCAATCCAAGGAAACAACAGGCAGGACGAGGAATAGCAAGAAGGAGCTGAGAGACAAATGAGAATATTGCTCAGCCAATGGGAGATGATCTCAGCATGACTTCCATCATGAAGGAGATGGGGGGGAGGGGAGGAAGTCACTGAAGTGACCATAGATCCATGGAAATTCAGCTGGTTCAGCAGGGATCGCTCACATTTCCATCCATGTGTGGCCACTGCCGGATAAAAGCCACTCCCCCAGCGGCTGCAGCCAATAGCTTCAGTGCTGATCTGTGTATTCTGAGAGCGGAGTAGTCCCCCCCATAGTCAAAAAAATGTTCTGGCCCCGGAAGTGGGGGAATGTTCTGCCCCTGAAGGGGTTAATCTGGGTTCCCACACTATATATGTGTGTATCATCATCTGCTGGAGATAAAAGACATCACATTGACTATGGAGGGAGAGGACGGACGTGACTATGGAGGAAGAGGACGGACGTGACTATGGAGGAAGAGGACGGACATGACAGGGGGTTACTGGGTGTAAATAGGAAATAAAATCTTATTACCTCCTCTGCTGCCACTTCCACCAACATCTCCTCTCTACTTCCTGTCTGTACCTGACATCACTTCCTGTCTGTCTTCCATAGAGACTTCCTGTCTGGGTAGAAGTGAGAGATCCTCCCCTTGTGGAGCTCAGAGGAACTGCAGCCCTGAGAATCGTCTGGTAGTGTGACCCCGGCCTTGGTCTATGTGTTCAGCATTCTGACTGTTCTCTTGTCATATTTGCCCTTTATATATCCTTTGTGGGGAAGTTACAGACCTGGGTTATCCAATCTAATCCATATGATGGCAATCAGCATAAAAAATCCTCCATAACTCAGCAGCAATGTCCCGAGGCTTCCATCTCACACAGTATAACAAACTATTGATATTATTGTCTGCCTGGGGCCATGGCTGGACCTGGAGGTGACATGAGAGATCCTCATCTACAAAGCTTAGTTCACACTGTAGTGATACAGAAATATATATCTATGTGAAGATAAATACAAGACGATGATATCGTGAAGAGGGATTTAGTTGTGAGAATATTGCAGATATACTCCATTTGTAGATATCAAAGTTTCCATCTGAAGACATTGTATGAGGGATTCCTAGATCACAGATGAAGAGTGTAGACTGTATAGTAAGAACCCAAATCCATGGCACTGCTCCAAACTGCACCTCCTAATGACCACGGACCAATCAGATGACAGCACCTGTAGCCCATCTCCTCTCCTCTCACACTCTGCAATCAGCTCATTCTTCATATTTTATTTGTTGATGATGAAGTAACTGCATACATATAGTCTCCTCCCGAACCTCACTCCCTGAACACGTTCCACCATAATGGGCTTCTACACACAGAGTAGTCTGAGGAAGAGGAGACCGCTCCTCCAAACAGGTCAGCCATTTGAGGGTCCTCTGGTGATGTGGAGATGATCCGGCTATGGCAGTGGTCTGTGAGTATATATTTCCTTGGATACAATAAAGCTGTGATTTTTGGTATTGTACTAGGCTGGTCGCCCTCGTTTTCCTCGTCTGTACAGCACATAGAGTAGTGTTTGGGCTACTCTATCCTTGTGAGCAATCCGAATGGGGTGAAATGCAGAATCAAATATGAAGAATGGGCTGATTCCGGAGTGGGACTCTTCATCTTCTTGTAGATGGTCTGGTCACAGATCACAGGAGAAAACAGGAGAGATTGGATGTGATGAAGAACACCTTCCAATGGAGAGGATTTCCATCAGAATGATTGAACCTCACTCTGTAAACTATAGACACAAATCAGAAATAAAGGACAGAGTGTTAGAAGGAATGTAGGGGTTCCCTTTGTGACCTGGTATAGTTCCCTGAGATTTGGTGAGATTATCCAAGAGAAATGGAAGAATCCTTATTATGAGTGTGTCATGAATGGGGGTGCCAAAGATTCGGGTAAGAAGGAGGCCAGCTGACACCCAAGGTCTTGTCCTCTATTATGTGTCCTTGGCAATCAGTAGATTGTTGCTAGAACCCCCCCCATGTTCCCCGGTCAGAACACGGGTAACAGCAGTACAACAGCATGCACACTCTAATATCCCATGGCTACCACCAGGTGTCAAGGACACAAGCCCAGCTACCCAAGGTGTTGTCTCCATTATGTGTCCTTGGCAATCAGTAGATTGTTGCTAGAACCCCATGTTCCCTGGTCAGAACACAGGTAACAGCAGTACAATAGCATGCACACTCTAATATCCCATGGCTACCACCAGGTGTCAAGGACACAAGCCTAGCTACCCAAGGCACGGACCTTGTTTGGTGTAGTAGGAAATGAAGGCAGAACTTGGTTTCGGTAGGACAACCCAGCTGTGATATAGTATTCACAGCCTGCAGTACCTCTGGCCACCACTATAGGGAGATGTCACCCAGATCAATCTGGCTGGCCACACATAGACAGATACAAATCTCACATACAATCTGGTGTATTCGCAGGGTTGGGGGAAGTCTAGCAATCACCACAGACTTCTGATATTCCTCAGACTACCTCCCAAGCTAGAATCCTTGTTATCACTTTTCCTACTGCCCATGAATACCCACAAACACCAGACTCACGATGTACGACAGCATGATTAACCCCCAAACTCCTGCGCTGCCACTAATCTATTCACCAAACTCAGGATAAGATATACAATGTAATATCTAATAACATTCAGAACCCCCGAGCTGCTGCAACCACCCGAATGTGTTCCCACATCCAGCAAACGGTAATTAATAATTAATGGTGCTGCGCTGCGCTCAATCACAAAGACTCCTCCCCCTTACTAGTGTGTCATTATAATTGTGTAACATTGTGCTATAAACAGCTGTAACTCCAATCCACCGTCTTCATTTGTGATAATAAATGTCATACTAGAACATCATTCTAATGACATAAAGCCGGGCCATACACTGGTAGACATCAGATCTGACAACCACCAACTTCATTTATGATTCTTCTTCTATATATATATATAATAAATAATAAAAGTAAACTCCCTACAGAGCCCCCAACCCACAATGTGATAACAGGTGTAAGCAGTGTGGGAATACTGGGGTCGTAGTCAGCACATCAACATGTTATCTGTGAGGCTCAGTGAGGTGACAGATCATTCATCCGTATCTATATGTCTACAGGGATGTCAGATCATTATTGCCATCTAGGTGTTCATTCCTCCAATCTTCACACTCCAGAGCCAACTATTCAGATTTATAAATTGTGACCATTTGTCTTCTACTGACCACTAAATGAAGAGAACACTGTATCTGTAATACTGAACATTGAATTCCAGGAATATCTGTCATATCATGCCACCTTTACAGGGTATGTTACATCCCAACCATTGCTGGTGTCCTCCATGTCTATGGTCACCTTACAGAGAGTATCTGAGCTATGTTCCAGAAGGTTCTGCCAACATTCCATACCAGACCCCTATCTGAGCATGCCGGCCAGGCCATGAAACAGGAGAGGGGAGCGTGCAGATTCCACATCTTACACCATGCCCTCAACATGGGGGGACTTGCCAGGGGGGGCACCCCGGGAAACACCTTGTTCCCATGTTGATAAGGACAAGTGCCTCTTGGTAATCCTACTTAATCACAAAAATATAGATTGTAAAAAAGAAAACAGTTTAAAAAAAAGTCCCATGATGTAGATCAATGTCTATCATGAAGTCCAACAACCACCGAAAAAAAAAATCTGATGACCAAATGTGAAAACCCAACTCACTGAATGACAGATCCCTGACCTATCATCTGCAATATACAGGAAGGGGAGGGGATAGTGATGTCATCATTGCCCAAATCTGGGGGTCAGGAGCCATTTCCACCCTTTACTCTGGGCTGGGGGGCTTTGTATCCATATACCAGATGTTCTACAGGACTAAATCTGCAATAAATGTTACTGCAAAATCAAAGGGGCCAAAATGTGTCCCCCGAGCAGTCATATATTTCTGTCCCCCTTGGTGGGAGTGGAGGTGACCCCTCTATAAGGATCTACAGTCCATACACACCCAGCACAAGGCCGGGGTTACACTACCAGACGCTTCTCGGGGCTGCAGTTCCTCTGAGCTCCACAAGGTGGTGATCTCACTTCTACCCAGACAGGAAGTCTCTATGGAAGACAGGAAGTGATGTCAGGTACAGACAGGAAGTGATGTCAGGTACAGACAGGAAGTGAGTACAGACAGGAAGTGATGTCAGGTACACACAAGACTTTCAGTGTGGAAGCAAAGCAGAGAGGAGACGTTCCTGGAAGTGGCAGCAGAGGAGGTAATAAGATGTTATGTTCTATTTACACCCAGTAACCCCCCATCATGTCTGTCCTCTTCTTCCATAGTCATGTCCGTCCTCTTCCTCCATAGTCATGTCCGTCCTCTTTCTCCATAGTCACTGTGACATCTTTTATCTCCAGCAGATGATGATACACACATATATAGTGTGGGAACCCAGATGAACCCCTTCAGGGGGAGGAGTTGATGATAATATATTTGCTCCCAAAGCTGGCCTACATGGTTCAGTTTTATCGTTCAGCCAGCGGGATGACCATAAAAACTGAAGTGATTCCCCCATCCACACATTGGAGGTGGATGGGGGAATCCTCCCCTCTGCACTCTTGTATTCTGACAATGGGGGGACTCCTCCGCTCTCAGAATACACAAATCAGCACTGAAGCTATTGGCTGCAGCCGCTGGGGGAGTGGCTTTTATCCAGCAGTGGCCACACATGGATGGAAATGTGAGCGATCCCTGCTGAACCAGCTGAATTTCCATGGATCTATGGTCACCTTCAGTGACTTCTCAAATCTCCCTGTTCAAATGTCCCTCATCCAGAATCTATATATTCTATGACATCACACTGATCTCACCCCCCTCCCTCCATCCAGAGTCAGAGAATCCTATGACATCACACTGACCTCACAGTTCCTCCTCCTCCCAATGTCCCCCTCCATCCAGAATCAGAGAATCCTTTGACATCATACTGACCTCACAGCCCCTCCTCCCAATGTCCCTCCATTCAGAGCCAGAGAATCCTATGACATCAAACTGACCTCATAGCTCTTAGGATGTGGGGGCCCTTAGCATCCTCAGTAGCAAAGTTGAACTGTTGTATGTAGTTGTCACGTGTTGTATGTAATGACGACGCCAGAATTGACACATTTTTAACCTATGGAATGTGGGGGTCCTGTGTGGGTGAATTATACCTCAGACTGAAGTGGGGCTTTAATAAAATGGGGACTTGAATTGAGAGGTGAGGAGGATTCTGGGAATATCATTTGATTTTACTATTTGTGTTCAGATTTAGAGTTTAAAAAATCTATACTGGACGAAGGTATGTTTCCCTTCGCACCATCTGGCCAATTGATGAATCTAAAATATATAACCTTTATTCAAACATATAAACAATGTATGCTCAGCTGTAATTGATGGCTTTATATAATCCCATTTTAGATGAAGTGACGGCATACAAGGAGGTCCTGTAGTTTGATCATAAGCCTATCAGCTTGACTCTATAATCTCTGTTAAGGAAATGGAGTTCCCCCCCCCTGGACAAAACTAATTGGATTGTATAATCTATCTTGTTACATATATGTA